GAGAGAGAGAGAGAGAGAGAGAGAGAGAGAGAGAGAGAGAGAGAGAGAACAATTGTGTGGGTGTGGGATAAGGTTATTTTCGTTGTTTTTTTCTTTTCCTCTGTTCCTCTGTATAATTTTGGATCCGGATATGGTCGATTTTATCGCGGCCTTCTTTTTGGACCTCTTTTGTAAATCGTCTCGGATTTTCCTTCTCTATTGTATTTTGTATGTATGCATGGAATGAATGTGAGTCCCCTTTATTAGCGATCATTTCGGATTTTTCATCTTGTTTTGCGATGCTCGTTTCGACTTTGTCTACTGATCACTTGCATAAGCTATACGCTCGGACATGATTGAAAGCGCTCAATTATGGACGTTTTGGTTCAGTCGTTAAGAGTGTTATAAAAAGTTGACGATCCTTTCTCTTATTTCCCCCTTTTTGTCACATGTATGATATGCAATGATCGGATCTCACTCAACGTCGCAGGGACACGATATCTGCATGCATGCTGAATGCGATCGACACGCTGAACCAACCCGTTGTTTCTCACGTGCACGCTTGTGTATAACTGCGATCTCGAGAAAACCGAGTCGCTACGTACGAGCTCGCTCGCGTGAGTCAGCCCGGAAAGCCATATGAGGATGCAGGGGACCGAACGTGATATGGCTGCGGAATTTCCTTCTTGGATGTCCGATTGTGAGAGTCTGAGGGACCCGGAATACCGCGAGTACTGGGAAGGTGAACGACTCAGACGACGGGGGAACTTAAGAAACCCGGAATTCCCCTGTCTTACAGAAAACGATCGATTATGTGCAAGGGACTTTCACTGTGCCATAACTAACGACCCAAGGGGCCCCGATTACTCGGATACTTATAACATGCAATACTTTATATCGACCGGCTTCGTCGTTATTACCACCAGTTTCCCTCCCTTCCACCTCCTCCTTCCATATCACCAAGTCACGGTGGTGCCGTGGAATTCCATAGCTCGTTACTGGCCCTGCATACCGTGTGAAAAGTGTCGATGACACCAGGCCTATCGAGCCTCGGAATTCGCTCGGCGAAACTGCATCGAAGTCGAGCGGCACCGACAACTGGTCGAACCATGCGACTGGCCACGAAGGCGAAACTGGAGGAGATAGTGATTCCCGTTTTTTTTAGGCTTGGAAGTTGAGTTCGTTGACAGGGACAATGTTGTTGGGATTTTGTTCGAGAATGCAAGAGTGTTTAGATGTGTTGGTACTTTGATTGTGGGAAAGCACCTGGGGATCTTTGGTCTTAGATACACTGCGCATGCCATCTGCCTTATGCTGCACGACATCAGCGGCTCCCCGTTTGTGCCCGAGAACCGGTCTACCCTTCGTCTTACGAAAATTAAAAGCGCCAACTGCGGCTTGCACCTACCCCTCCCCCCTTTTGCGCTTATACCCCCGAAAGGACCGAAACTTGCCACAGGAGATCTCAGTTCTGACCTGGGACTCCACCCCCACTTTCCCAAAATCCTTGGCACACCCATTTTTCGCACTTCCGGGCCCCCATCCCACTCCAATCCGGAAGTCGCGCTAGGCGAGGTTAGGGCGTCACATGACAGCGGTGCTACTGAAACAGTACTCTCTCCCACTCACTCATTAATTTCATAATGCTTATGACGCCGCTAATGGTCCGGATACATTCCCCATTTGTACGCGGACAGAATGTGGTCCATCCACTATGCCAGTTGTCTTCACACTATTTGTCAATGCCCCGCCCCCCCCCCCCCCCCNGGGGGATGTGGGGGCAAATTTCTCAGGGTTTTGCTTCAATACTCACCAAATGTGCAGAATTAGAATGACTCTTCTACTATAACGTGGAATAATACGCTGCCATATGTGTTGTCTTTTGTGCATGTGGTGAGTAGAGGCACTTAGGGCCTTTGCAAATGTGCAAAATTAGAATGAATTTTCTGCTGGAACGTGGAATAATATGACGCCATATGTTTTGTCTTTTGTGCATGTAGTGAGTACAGGCCCTTATGGCCACTGCACGTATTCCTAAGAAAAGAAAAACGAGAAAACAAAAGAAACATGAGAAAATAAGAAAAAAACAAGAAAACAAAGAATTAGTGACCCATAACTGTGATGCACGGACCTGAATTTGAATCCAGACTATATATTATTTGCCCATGCAGATAGACTAGAAAACTAATGTCCATCTCTGCTCCACGAGGGGTCCTTGCTAATTCGTAGGGGCCCTTTGGAAATGAGACTGGACACAACTAGGACATGCACCCAGATGCACACACATGTGCTTACAGTGTTGGGGTATGGGGTGGCCCCAACTTTTTTCCCTCTTGCAGTTTGATTTTCGGATGGGACGGGCATGTTTGGCCACCCCACCCTTTTAATAGAGGTCAAATTTCTTTTGTTTTTTTTCCTGTTTTTAGTGTTTGGGCGCACCCATCCTGTTTTTTCGGATCCAATGGGAGACCCCCGTTTTTTCGTTAAACGGGATTCAACGGGGTCCAAGGGAATTTAATGGGCCCCGTTGTCTGTTTTTCGGACACACAGCCAACCATCTCTAATTGTAAGACTACCCTTCCTCGCTATACTGTGGCCGTGCAGTTGGCGCGACTATCCCTACCATTCATATGGGCTCTGAATCGCGCTGCTACACAACCGCGCGTCCTCATTTTGAGTAGAATATATTCACACTTAAAACCTTAACAGTTATGCGCCCCAGTGACCCTGCCAGCAGCGGAGCACAACTGGTCGCGCCGCCGACCAATCACTGTCGTTACCAAACGCATACGTAGCTCCAAATAGTCTTATGACAAACACGTCAAACTCATCAAGTCAAAAACCTCTAGCTATTGTCGGACCATGTCCTATATTGAAAATACCCGGTGGATACCCTTGTAAGGGTTTTTGCTCTGACACTGGTACCTTGCATCTTTCCAGCATGCCCTTGTAGCCGTTAGTGGCAGTCGAAGTTGTTCCCCTGGCGGAGGTATCGAGGCATATCGGAAATATGTCCATACACATTGTCAAGCAAAATCCCGCCATAAACACACACTCTCTCTCTCTCTCTCTCTCTCTCTCTCTCTCTCTCTCTCTCTCTCTCTCTCTCTCTCTCTCTCTCTCTCAGGCACCTACCAGAATAAAGAAACAGGCGGGTTCGAGCAAGGTATCGGCTGCACGCGAACCGGGTCCATGAAGTGCACTCTGTCAGAGAGAGAGAGAGAGAGAGAGAGAGAGAGAGAGAGAGAGAGAGAGAGAGAGAGAGAGACCCACCATCCATGCATCGAAGTTGAGATGTCTTCCCACTATAACCACTCCCTTATATACTGATCTATGAGTTGAAAACCGCTATTCCTTGTTTCTCATTGTATCATCCATCCATCGCTCTTATTCCTACTCCATGCTGTATTCTACTTACCCATCTACTTTCCTTACAACATTCACACACGACGCATGGAGTAGGAATAACCGCCGTGTGTGAATGTTGTGAGTAAAGTAGATGGGTAAGTAGAATACAGCATGGAGTAGGAATAAGAGCGATGGATGGATGATACAATGAGAAACAAGGAATAGCGTTTTTCAACTCACCCCCTACCCATCTACTTACCCGACATACTCTTCTCACCCCTTCAGCGGCGGCGCCCACAGACACACTTTTCATACGATAACCAAACGTTGTGTGTCCCTCTTTACTTCACCTATTGATTTCCTCAATTCAACTCACCCCCTCCCCTTCTCCTTCCTCAATTTTCCCTTTCCATTCTTTTTCTCCCCTTCGTACTTCTCTCTCTCTCTCTCTGTCTCTCTGTCTCTCTCTCTCTCTCTCTCTCTCTCTCTCTCTCTCTCTCTCTCTTGTCCTCTTTTTTTCCCTTTGTTTCTCTCTTTTTGTCGCTGCCACTCTCCCTCCTCCTCTCTCCTTCCCATCCCCCCTCCCTCTCCCTTTCGTGTCCCCCGACTCATCCCCTTCCTTACTTCCCACATACTCATATAGTGGTTCTGCCGGCACATCGCCGCTGTTTCTGCCATCCCTCCTGCTCTCCTTCATTAGTTCATCATGCACTGTCCGTGTATCACGTCGATCCCACTCTTCTAGTTCGTGCCAGATGGGTACACGTACCTGCTCAGCTCCTGCACTTGCTTTGTCCTTTCTGATTGCGGGTGCCCAAAAAAGAAAGGAAACCCACCTGAGTGGCATTGCTGTGTGTGACAGACTGTTTTAGCGGACTTTCACGGACTCATCAGCAGGCGGGGAGAGAGAGAGAGAGAGAGAGAGAGAGAGAAGAAGAGCTAGGACGTTGTGCACACACGACAGGAGGACGGCAGGCAGAGGGGCATGGAAGGTGGAGAGCGACAGTAAACTTTGTGAAGCAATCGACGGAGGTCGAAGGCGGTGCGGCAGGCGACCAACGATGGATTGCAGCAGCAAGCCTTGCGTGGACTTGCAGCACCTTGCCAAAAACACTGCAAGTTTGAATTCGAACTGGTAGGGCCTCCCTGGTGAAGGGTATCTCACAAAGATGCATCCCGGGCAGGAGGGTATCGCAGACAGCCACCAGGGAAGTGGGACCGGGGGTCCGGCGTCCTGGAAACTTGTGCCCCTCGCTGATGGGGGCCCGAGGGAACCAGGGGCACGACAGGGTATGTCGGCGGTCGGAGGGGCATTTCGAAATTGTTGTCTAGAAAAAAAAAAGGTCAGCGGCCTGCCGAGCCGCGGGGCTGAGAATTTGCGGTAACCTCTTTTCGATTCGATTTTCGAAGAAGGAAGGCGGGTTAGCCGTGATGGCACGGGAGCTTAGCGGCCGTGTGTGACCAGGAACACGACAGCGCGAGCCAAAGGAACGAGCATGTGCTGGAAAGCCCCTCTGTGGGCCAGTCGATGGGCGATCAGGCGAAGAAGGGCTGCAGGAAGTCTTCCGCCGAGAGAGTCCAGTTCTACCTCAACGGAACGGGACGACGGAACGGAACGGAACGGATCGGAAAGGAGCCAACGCCGAAGCGGAAACTGAAACGGAACGAGACGAAGCCAAGCGGAACGGAAAGAAACGCGACGAAAGGGGAGGTGGAGATGGAGATGGAGATGGAGGTGGAAATGAGGAGATTCAGCGATCTTCCCGATGATCTGATTAGCAGGATTCTCGGTTTCGTCGAGGATGTACGAGATCTGTATTGTTGCGGGGCGACCTGCAAGAGGTCAGTTCGTCAAATTCTTTTTTTTCTTTCTTCTGTCTAGTCTCTTTTTCTTTCCCTGTCTATTCTCCGTTTATTCTTGGTTTCCTCAGCCCCCAGCACGCTCTTCACGCGAATACAACGTATGGTCATTACAGCTGTATTTGGCCCATCTTTGAGTCTAAGATGCAGCAACAGTGATCGTACGTTGTATGAGGGTGAAGACGGTAGCTATGGTGGCTGTCGTTGCTGCGATGGCCTTCGTGTGTCGCTCTGGTTCTCTTCTTCCTCTTGGTTTTGCTCCATTTTCCTCTTCGATGACACTGAACCGAGCTTCTTCGCCTTCCTCTCCATCCACTTATCCCCTCCTCTCAATCTAGTCATCCGCTCTCCCTCCTCCCATCCTCGTTCCTTCGGCCCAGGTTCCACTTACCGAGATCGGTGTTTCCACATGGCCTTAAGTGGAAACTGGTTCCTCTGAAGTTCGTTCCCGCCAAAACGAAAACGAACGGCCCAGATTCGTTTGTGGACATCCACGTGGTCGCAAGTTGAATCTGATTTTGTACTCCTCGAATACCTCCTCCTCCTCCTCCTCCTTCTCTCTCTAACTCTCTCTTTCCTCCCCCCCCTCTCCCCCCCTTCTCCCTCCCTCCCTCCCTCCCTCCCTCCCTCTCTCTCTCTCTCTGTGTCTCTCTCTCCTTCCTGAGACCCCCGAACCCATCGACATGCTCCCTTCTCCAGCCTTCTCTCTCTCTCTCTCTCTCTCTCTCTCTCTCTCTCTCTCTCTCTCTCTCTCTCTCTCTCTCTCTCTCTCTCTCTCTCTCTCTCGTGGGTTCCCGATGCCAGCGTGTTCCCGATCCCACCTCTTCCACTGCCACGTACATATGCTCTATTGGCGCGGAGTAGAGCACAAGCTTGGTGATTGTCGAGAGAGAGAGAGAGAGAGAGAGAGAGAGAGAGAGAGAGAGAGAGAGAGAGAGAGAGAGAGAGAGAGAGAGAGAGAAAGGGTAAAATTGTTTCATCCTCCTCTGTGTCTTCTTTATCTACTAATTCTACTGGAATAGGATCCTCTGCATGAAGCCCCTTCGAGCTCTCCCCAAGCACAGGCTGCACTTGCAAGGACTTTCTTGCCTTTCGGGTTTGCACCATTATAGCCGGCGTTCCCCGTTTGAGCATGGGTCGGGACACAACCGTGACCGTCATTGCTTGAGCCATTGATGACGGCCCTTGTGTAGAGTTAGCTGCAGGCGCTGGGCTATCCTGACCATCACTGCCCCATCCGCCAGACAGAAAGACAATTGGAAGATTGGGCCATAACTATTTCATGTCCATACGCAGTCGTATGATAAAATCTCGACACTTGCCCAACTTTCTTGTCACTCTTTGTGTCTGGCATATAATCCTTTCTTTTTGTTCCTGCAACTCCCCTGGCTCAAACGAAGAGTTGTTGACTCCTAATGACGTCATAGTTGTTTCCAACTCAATAAGTTTTGCCTCTTCGTGAGAGGCTACGTGAAATATGGCCGGGAGAGGAGGACCCATCCGTCGGAAGGTCTCATTTTTCATACCCCCTTTAATATTTGGGTCAATTAGGTTTCCCTCGAAGTCAAAGACTTCACCTCGAACAGTCGTAAAAACCACCTGGTCCTCCTCATCCTTTGCGAGGATTTGACAAAAACGGAGAATGTGACATTTCCGGTCACAATACTGACAAATAACTTTTTTTGGTCAATTGCTTCCACCGCCTCCATTTCCATGACCTCTCCCTCGACCTCTGTCAGCCTGAGGTTGCATTTGTTGCCCTTGAGCGAGTTGGGTTTGCTCTGCTTGGCGACCACCATTTTTATTCCCTCCATTTCCACTACTATCCTCGCACTTCCGACTAGTTCTTTGTCCTCCTCGAATTTGATTTAAGACTTTTCTTAATCAATTTTCGAGGTGGTTCTTCCTCCTTCTCACTTTCACTCTCGTTGGTGCTTTCTTCAGTGACCGACCCCTTTTCTTTTCTCTTGTTTTTTTTTCACCTTGACCATCATTACTTGGAGCTTCAACTGCTCCTTCCTCATATCGGTCATCATCTTCTTCATATCCGCAAGAGTCTTATAGGCCTCCTTGTCCTTATTCATATCAATATGTACCTTCTCTCGGTTTGCCTTTGTTGTTTTAGCAATCAATAGAGTATTTGGTCGAAGTTCCCCACCAACAGATTTCCCCGTATCTTTGACTAATCATATCTTCCTTGCATACCCTTGATTAACTTTTGTTGCTTCATCTCTGAGAAATTGTCAAGGAAGATGATGCATCTATCATTGTCAGAAAGGTCCGATACCAACCTCGCCACTCGCTCGAACTCGGTCAGAAACTGTTTTGTGGTTCCAAAATTCATGCGGCCGATCTTACGAAGGTCTGCCAAGTCCAGCAATTGCTTCCCCAGTTGGTACTTCTCCAATAATTTTTCCTTAAAGCTCGATCAATCTTGCGACGCTTGCACCAGCTCTGCCACTGCATCCCTGTATTCCACTCAGCAATATTTTTTCACCATCCGCAATAACTTTTCATCTGACCATTCGCAATGGCTCCCCAACTGTTCAAATTTGTCGTCTCATCCGAAGGCATTATTGTCATCAAGTAGTGAGACCTCAACCTTAGGGAACTGCTCTTTCTGAGACTGTTGGACCACCTTCGCAAGTTTCTGAATGTCATTCCGCCTCTCATCCTGGTTGTTGTTGTTGTTGGGAGCTGCAAAAACCCATTTCTTCATATTGAGTGACAAAAATCACAACAGCATAGATCCACACATCAGTCCAATTTTTTTTTTGGAGTCTGAAAGATAAAACAATAATTCTCTAGATTTTCCCTTCTTTCTCTTTTTACCTTTGGGTCCAAATTACTAACTTTTACATAAAGCCAAACAAAAGAGGGTAACTTTATATTCCATCAATCACCCAAGTGTCCTTTCTCTAGGGACAACGGTAGGTATCCCTAACAACGACGCCACCTGTCGAGCGCATGGGCTCCCGTTTTTTTCGCAAAAGGCGAGAGTCCTCCCAACCATATATGTGTCCGAAAATGGATTCAACGGGGGATCCGTGTTGAAAGATTCAACACGCGTTGAATCCGCGTGGAATCCCCGTTGAAACAGTCGTTGGATGAGTATAAACGGGGTCCACGATGATTTTTTTCATGGGCTAAACACAATTTTAAAAATATAAAAAAAATTGGAGTTGTAGATCTTTTCGAGGTCTAGAAACCCATATATAGGGCCATATTTCTATTTTTTAAACTTTGAGTATATTTAAAAAAAAAAAAACAACATAAACACAATTAAAAATAAAAATAAAAATGAAATGAGTGTTTTTTTTTTTTGGGTTTCACAGAGATTTTTTAAGGGCTAAAACAAAAACAGAAAAACAAATTAAAAATATAGGGTTGTAGATCTTTCAAAGATGTACAACAATATATATATTTTTTTTCAACTTCGTGTATAAAAAAAAAAAAATCAAAACCATAAAAACAAATAAAAAAAGGAAAAAAAGGCACACGCACACACGCACAGATACAGACACACAACTCACACAAACATACACACAGACACACAACACACACAAACATACACACAGACACACAACACACACAAACACAAAAGAACACACAACTGGGGGCGGTGAGGGTTGGGGGATGAGGAATGCGGGGGCATATTTTAGGGGG